GAGAGGAGAAAGCAATTTGCAAACTCCTCTTATCTCATGAGTAGATTCTGGTGGACTATATTTGATTGTTCCTTCCGTCCAAATTCCAAAGGAGTGAAACGCTGCACTGGGAAGGAAGACCTGGCCAGAGTCCCTGGTTCCGTGTTTGAAATGACCATGTCTGGAGAGAGCTACAATATCTACAATGCAGTTTATTCTGTAGCACACGGTCTGCAAGCAATGCGTTCAAGAAGAGCAAAGCAAGCTGCATTGAGGAATCCGAAGGGAGCAAATCCTGATTTTCATTTTCAGCCATGGCAGGTATGTCTTTGCTCTTCCCAGAAACATGTATGTAGCCTGAAGTGGAAGGAACATGAATCAGTAGTATGAAAGCTCTGGGTCACTTCCTCTTCAGAAATGAATTAACTGTTAGCGATTACTGTTTGCAATTCAGTCATTCATGCTTTTGGTTATGCTGTGTCCCAATTCTAACCAACTCCAGAAAGAACTCTTTTCTGGTGGGATGTTTGTCAATTAGTTTTGTACCTCAAATAATTCATTAATTTTATCAATCAGAGTGGAGTTGATGGGAGGCGCTATCTCTCTTGATTTTATTTTTTTTTGCTAATGTGTAAGACAGAGCATTTGTTGGTTGAGATTTGGAGTTGCTAATTGTTTGACCATTCTGACACATAGTCAAGGTCTTTTTGTAGGGTAGTAGATAGCTGACTACTTGTTGCCTATTTGATAGGAACACAGATATCCACTTATGCAGGGAACCAGAGATGCCATAAGATTTTAGTTTTAGAATAGTTTGTTGTGTACCACTGAATCAAAGCCTTTACAGAAGTCTATATAAATTGTGTCTATTGCTTTACGCTGGTCGAGTTGTGAAGTCCATAAATTTTTGTAGTGTAAGAGTTGCAGATTGCAGGATATTCTTTTTTTGAAGCCAAACTGCTTGTTAGAGAGTAGGTTATTTGTCTCTAAGTAGTGGGTTGGTTTATGATTGATTTCATGACTTTGCAGGTGATGCAACATAATGAGATTGGTCTGCAGTTTTCAACTAGGATAGGTCACCCCTTTTTGAAGATAGGGATGACCGTGGCTAGAGACCATAAGTTAGCCAAAGAGCTAGTTCTGAAGGATATTTCATAGATTCTGCTAAGAGGTTCTGCTATGGTGGTTGAAAGCTTTTTTAAGAAGTAAGGACATAATCCATCATGGCCAATAGATAGAGGTGGTTTTCGGCTGCGTAGTGCCTTTTCAATGGTATCTTCTGTAAAATCGACATGTGGTAGATTGTTGTAATTGGTTGTGGTACGATTGGGAAATGTGGGGCATGAGCCAAGAAAGACTTTCACCATCATCTTTCACAGATGTTCTATGGTTCTTGGGCAGGGATTCCATTGTTTGCTTTTTACCAATGCATGCTTTTCCCTGAAGATAAAAAGTTTTATTTTGATCTTAGAAAACTTTCTGCAACTTTTTACTCACAGACAATTGTTCTGTTAGACTTTTGACTTATCCACAAGTCTTTTGCGTTCAATAATTTGGTGTCAATGTTTTTCCTAGAGATTAGCAGCTTTATCCTTAAAACCTTGACACTCACCTGGTTCTTCAGTTTTCTTCTCAGAGTACCATATGCCTTTCACTTGGTGAAAGTAGGGGTGAATTACCTCCACGTGTACAAGCTTTGCATGACAGTGGACAGGTGAAATTCAATATCTTCGGAAATTGTTTTCCAAACATTTCCAGCTTGGTGAACATCAACAACTTAGAAATTTTTCAGATCTCCTTTGTGCTAGCAATGACTTATTCCTTTATACTCCAGGGGTCGGTTTCTATGTGAACCGGTACCGGTTCTCTTTGCACGTCCTTTCAATTCAAACTGAGTTTTGGAATGTGGGTTGATGAGGTGTCCGAATGATACTGGAACAGATGTCAGTTACAATTGTAATAAACTGCACTACAGAAACTCTGTTAGGTTTGTGAATATTACCAGATCTGGGGTAATACTGAGGCAATTCTGATTTGATCTTACTTTTCTTCTCCCCTCAAACCAGCTTCACTACTTTTTGAGAAACACTCGCTTTAATAACAGTGTGGGAGAAGAAATATTTTTTGACGAGAAGGGGGATTTTGATCCAGGGTACAAGATCTTCAACTTGGTTGTCTTTCAGAATAGATCTTTCCAGAGAGTCCATGTTGGAAGCATGGACTCCAAAACTCCTGATGGAAAAATGTTCACTCTCAATGAAAGTGCCATTGTGTGGAATCCCAAATTTCGGCAGGTAGGATTTTTTGAGATGGTATAGTTAAGCAATGACTCATCGGTTAAAGATGCTAAGATTGTCAGCTGAACAGCTGATACCCTGTGTTCAAGACCCAAATGCTGGTTTAATGAGTGAACTCCTGTTACTTGTCCCACCTTCTGCCAACCTAGCAGTTTGAATGTGTGCAAATGTGAGTAGATAAATTTTCGCACTTCAGTGGGAAAATAAGTCTTCCATGCACTTCGGCATATACTGATGTCTGCCACATGGCAATGGAATTATCTTCAAAAAACGCTAAGAAATGGAGATGAAAACTGCCTCCTAGGGTCGGGAATGACTGGATAGAGGAAACCTTGACCTTGACCTTTAGTAAAGTAACTATAATCTTTGGAAGAAGATATTTTTGATTACTATTATGGACTACTACAGAAGTGAAGCACAGTGATGATATCCTGGATGCAATTGTAATATTTACACCTAAAATGTATTAAAATGTATTACATGCAGAATAAATATGAGTAAGATATTTTTCCCCTCTATTTCTATGACAAAAGTATTTTTTAACTATTCTGACACTGGATGAAACAATATGATAATTATTTAAACTGAATTTCTACCTGTTTTACATAATGTTAAAAACTAAAATCTTTCAACCTTTTCTCTCATTTTTTAAAAAAATAAACAATAGTATTTCTATTCATTTAAGTGCTCTATTTCAACTTTATCAGGCAATTTTTTGAATGTGAAACTATGAATAGAGAAAGAGAGTAACACAGAGTTACTTTTTGAAAATAAAAAGGTTTGTTATTGGTGGATATCGTCCCATGGTGTCATTTTTTTTAAAGAAAAATTGCTGATTTCCTGATGGTTATTTCCAGGTACCTCCTAAGGCCAGATGTGTGGAGAGCTGCCTCCGGGGCTACAGCAGGGTTGTTCAGGAGGGGAAACAATCTTGTTGCTACAGTTGTAGAAAATGTCCTGAAGGAAGAATTTCAGTCCAAACTGGCAAGTTAAAAATAGAATTATAAATGCAGAAATTCAGACGTTTTCAACATTGAATGCATTTTTATGTTAAACTATCCTTCACTGCACTAACATGTGCAGTGTTTTTAGAAAGGAGAAAGAGAAAGAGAACTTTCAAATAATGTGGAAATTAAATTTTATATTTTGGAAAAGAGAAAAGCATTGTTGTACATTGAAAATCCTTAAGCCAACCATTCCTTTACCAATCATTAAATGTTAAACAAAAATATTCTCATTTGAATATTTTATTTCATTTTCATTTTCATTTTCATTTTATACAATCACTTATATACTGTGCATAAAAAAAAAGAAAAAGGGAAAAAAAAAAC